ACTCACTGTAGAGACCTCTAATGTCACGCATGTTGAGGCTCAGTGGACACTCAGCAGCTGCATTCCCAGCACAGCCCCCACACGCTCCTGCCAGAGCCGCTCAGGCCCACGTCCTGCGCTGCTTCTCTGCTCACTGTCCCCACATTCCTCTCCGTGCGCCCAGGCTGTGGCGCTGGCCACCAGCTCGTCACGTTGTGATGTTCCATTAAAGGATCTTCCTCCATCTCTAGTGTGTCTGCAGAGTCTCTTCCTGGTCACACCCACACGTCCCTCCTGCAGGATGGGCTCGCCCACCCCCGGGTCCCTTCCGGCCCCTCTGTCCTCCTCAGACACATGCACATCTGTGCAGGGAGGCGCCACTCCGGCGCTGAGCCGGATGGTCTGTGCGTGTGGCTGTCCCTGCGGTCCCAGGGACCCGGGTCCCCTGGGTGCAGGTTTGTTCCTCACCCCAGGCCCGTGCGTGGGTGGACTTCTGGACACGGGGCAGCCCTGCCCTCTCTCCCTCTCCAATCTCCCCTCTCCCCCTCTGTGGGGTGATGGAGGGCAGGGCCTGGGGAGGCAGGACTTTTAGGAGAATGTGCTGATATGAAATAACTGTGAAAGGTTCGTGGAAATGACCAGATATTTTAATTGAAAAGGGAATAATTGAGGACAGGCTGTGGTCAAGGGCCTGGATTCTTCTGAGTGGCGTAAAACACAAATGTCTCATGACAAATACACAAGACCCGTCTCTGCCCTGGCCCTGATCAATTACGGGGACCCCTTCCCATCACAGTGTGAGACAGTGTCCTGCGCGCAGAGGGTGATGAGGTCAGATCACCCCGAAGCCCGTGTCTAGTAACAGACACAGCCGCAGCCACTCCACTTGTTGAGAGAAAGAGCCGTCTCACCAGAAATTGCCTCGAACCCCTTGACTGTCGCTCACCTGATGCCGCAGCCTGCTGGCGACTGACAGGCCTGGCACCCCTGTCCTCAGAGCAGCCCCCGGCCCAGTAAGGGGGCGGATCCCTGTGAGAGGGGTCCCGTGTCTGCTCCAGGTCTCTCACTCCCCGCCCCCTCATTCCCCCTAAGCCCTCCCCCAGGCAGGAGAGGACATTTGGGTCTGAGCGCCGGACCCGCTGCGGCCCAGAGCCAGGCCGGGCTCTTCACGGCCCCTTCCCCGCCAGAAGCGTCCCTTGACTTTCCCCGTGAGTTCCCCCCGTGGCTGTGCATGTCACTGGCTGTCGTGGCTCTTTCACTTTCTGGCTCCTCCCTGTGCTCCGCCCACATCACAGGTGCGAGCAGCGATGGTCACATACACTGTTGTTGGGCCCCATGCACCTTGTTCTTGGGCTGTTGCCTGGTGCCCAGAAGGTTCTGCTGATTATTCAGCTATTGTGGGTCAGACAGGAGCCTCTCGTCAGGACAGTGTTGGTTTGAGCACACCTGCTGGGAACAAAGGCAGACACTGGTTCCAGAGCAGCTTCACCAGCGACC